TTGTTTCAAAGCAGCTTTACAGGGATAAACAGGAAAATAATGATTTAAAGATCAACTCTGCTATAAAGCACCTCTAAAAGATAACACTGTCAAAAAATGATTATCTGGAATTATCTGGAAAAATTTAATCAGAGGTTTTCAAACTGTGGATCGAGGACCCCAAAGGAAAATTTGAGCTTTGAACCAATGATTAGTGTGAGGTTAGTGTAAAAATCATACTTTCCAGATAATTTTACAAATTATTGCTTTTGGCTTTAGTACAGTGAAAATGTAAATGCCAACTAAATAAGTGCAAAATAAGTTGCTAAATAAGTAAATGTGAAGGATTTTCTGAAGAAAATTTGAGTGCTGTTTCATAGTTCAATGTCATTATGCTAGGTGTTGTGAATGGTTGCCAAGGCATAGCTATGTGGATTCTAAGGTGTTCTGAGTAGTTTTTAGCATGTTGCTATACAGTTGCTAGGACTTCTTGGTGGTTTCAATGTTAATTGGATTTTTTCAACCATTTGATCATCCTTGAGGTGAAAATCCAATCACTTAGATAAATAATAGCACACCACACCTCACCAGCTTGCACGGTTTGAGACATCATTCACATTAAATACTCTCTTACCTTTAACATCTCTGCTACATTGATCCGTGCCACATTTGAGTAATTGTGAGGCTGAGTTTCCACCTCTTCTTCTTTGAAAACTGTACACGTGTCTGAGCAAACGTTCCCACCCTTAGCAGATGGATCTTCGTGACCTAAGCAATCCATTTTTACAGAACCGTTGCTTTGGATGCATGAGCTGAGGGTCCATAGATGTTTGTGCACTGTGTCGTAATTTAACCGCTTGAGTTTTTTGTACCCTAGAAGATTGAGGAATGCGGTGCGGTACTCGGGACTGTGGCAGTAGATGATTGGGTTCAGGCCTGAATTGGTGTAACCGAGCCAGTTCAACAGGACGAACACATCCCTCGACAGCACTTTGGGATTAAAAACCTTGATGATATTGAAGAAAAAGAAGGGCAGCCAACAGAGAATGAAGATGCCCATAATAATCCCCAGCGTCTTGAGCGCCTTGTGTTCTTTCACGACATGCCTCGTTGACCTCCGGCTCAAATTACGCACCGTTTCACCTGGATTTTCACAAGTGTCTTCTGTGCATGTGCTCAGAAAGCGGAGTCTATTCTTGTCAATGAGTTTCAGCTGTCTGGTCGCGATGACAAACACCTTCCCGTACACAAACACCATAATAACGAGGGGCACGTAGAAGGACACCACTGAGGAGAAGATGGTGTAGGTCTTGTTAGTATGGAAATCACAGCATTCTGGTTTATTGTAACATATTTTTGCCTC